AAAAAGGGCTGGGGATGTGGCTCAGTGGTTAAACCTCCTTGGGTTCAGTCCCAGTTACCAAAAAATAAATAAGGATTTATTTCTCTACTCTTAATACTCTTGAATCAATTTGGATTTAGCTGTGAGATATGCTTTGGTAGTGAAACAGTAGCAAAAGGACACAGAGACTTTAATAGCACTTTCCCATTGGGCTTACCTTCTTTTGGCAGCAGCTGAGAATCTGAGTTTACAGTATAAATAAGGCGGAGCTACCATTTGGGAGAGGCTCTATCCACCAAGACCAAAGTGCTCTGACTGATAGCCTAACTAGGGCGGAGAATGAGAGCTGGACTATCTCACACCATCTACCCTCAACAGATTTGACAGATGACTCAAGTCAAGATGAGTAGAGCAACAGATCATCTAATCGACACTCATTGCTGAAACAACAAATCCTAAGCAAGTAAAAAAAAAATAAATAAAGCCACTAGATTTTGAGATGACTAGGTATACAGCAATAGATAGTTGATACCAAACCAAACCCAAACAAAACAACCCTGAAATATGTAGCACTGGTTTGGGACTTAATTTAATGGATTAATATACAACAAACCAGTTCTAGTATAATACAACCAGTAAAAGTGATGATAATAATAGTAATAGAAGAATACATATATTGTGTTAGCATTATTCAAGCATTGTATTAGGAAAACATATTATTATCCTTACTTTATAAATATAGAAACTAAGGGATAGTTAAGTTACCTAGCCAAGGTTACACAAAACCATAAGTGATAGAGCTAAGAACGAACTTAGACAATCTGTCTTTGCAACCCAAATTTCAATATTTGGCACTAATATGTCTCTTAATATCAAGACACATTAATTCCTTCTACACTGTACTTAGATAAAAAGATTTTTTGAAAATGTGAAGAGGTGGAGTTTGTATCCTCTTTTAGACTGGATTTCACTCTTAGTATTACTTTCTTCCTGGAGTACAAGAACATTGTCATTTATTTCTATTCCTCCCATTTTAGTTCCTGATTTTGTTGTTACTTTAAAATTTCAAATTAAATTTTTTTTCCTTTTTATAATTTCTACAGACAATAAACCCTATTTTCTTGTTTAATGTTCACATTTATTCTTTAACGTGGGTATTTTGTAACTGAGGTCTTTGTTTGCTCTTTTGTTTGACTGAAATTCATGATCATGAAGCCCCTCCCTTCCACACCCCATTCCACGTTTGTAGGACTCATCCTTTCTTTTAGAGATGGAATATTTGCCTGGGATTTTTATAATTAGAATACAAACTAATCGGGTAAAAATAAAAACTAGGAATTACTTATTTCCCTTTGATTTTTATAGGTGTTCTGAGAAGTTGTTTTATTTTCACTTTCCACTTCTGCTTGAATTTTTTATTTTCAAATTTTCTCTTTTTACCCTTCTGTATTGTTACTATGATTTGAATGCACATATCTAATCAAAATTTGAATAATTCTTTCTTGTAGTATTTTATATTTTACTAGTTCTAGCCTCTTGTTTGGAGAGTCCAATTATAAATGTGTTGGGTCACCTTTATGTGACTTTCCATTATCATTTTGTGTGCATTACTTAAACTATTTGTTTCTCTTAAATGATTTTTTTKTGTGTGTGTAGTTACTCTAAGACAGGTTTCTATGTCTCCAGAAACAGTTTTAATAGTGTTTATTTTAGTTTATATTGTTTCTAATGCCACTTTAACTCCTATTATGAGTTCTCCCATTTCACACCTACCTAACTTTTCTCTTTCAGTTAATTGTTTTAAATAAGTGATCTCTTTGTAACCCTAGAACCCTCATTTCCTGATATACATTCATATTTTACATTTGTTTAATGCTTATGTTTCTTTATCTCAATTGCCACTCTTTTACTCCTGCTTATATGAAAACCTTTTTCATTCTTCATAACTATTCATCTTTGAACCAGAAACATTCTATATTGGCAGAGTTTTTGATAAAAWTTTACCCTACAAATTGAAATTAGATGGAATGAACTGGCAAACTCCACATCTTCAGTTCAGATTTATCTTCTGAAATAGAGGCTGGCAAACAGTTTTGATAAGATAATTGGTACACATTTTCACTTTTGTAGTCCATAGGAATCACTCTGCTGACATTAATTTTATAATAATAAAATTAATCATAGGCAATTTGTATGGGCATGGATATGTTCCAATAAAATTTTATTTACAAAACAGACAATGGGCTGTATTTGGCTCATAGGTGATATTTTGTTGGCTCATGTTCTTTTGTGCAGTTGTAGACAGGAGGCCTTTACCAGGTAATGATGAGGACAGCTAATGCAGCTCCTAGGTGCAGTTGAAGTCAGTAGGTGATGACTCCTTCAGTTGATTTTATCAGAATAGATGATGTCACCTTGGCAGAGTTTGCACAGTACTTGAGTTTGCTTAAGGTTCTTGCATTTAAAATTTGAATGTATATATTTAATGTGCATTTGAAATGTTTATAAGGTTGTATTCAGATTTTATTTATGTAGATACCATTTTTTAAATTGAAAATATTACCTTTATGTATTCTGGTCAGAATTTTTAAATGTAAAATTCCCCACATGATATCTCAAGTAAATTGATGATGATTATGAATTTGGTTTCTAAAATATATGTAGTAGAATCAAAAGATATTGCATTTCATCTTGATTTTTTATGTTTTTTTAACTGCAAGAGCAGGAATGCATGGGAAAATGTAGAATAATTTCTGTGATAATTGATTATGGGGAAGCCCATGTTGAACAATATCTTGTGAAGTTTTTCCCCATAAAATGGTGGGTGCTTTTACTATACTAATATCTTCAAATCTTTATACATTTTTTTTTTACCGTTCTACTGGCATGGGAGAAAAATAGATCACTATTTACTAAAGAAACTGAGGTTAAGAAAGAACAACTGGAAGTTACAAATTTAATACCAATAAAAATAGGATTCAAGTTCAAGAAGGTTAAGACTGAAATCAATACTCCAATTCAAGTGTCCTTTGTTAGTATGCTAACAACTTTTATCTTTAGACAATACAGTAAATGCTAAAGTTTAATGTGGATATTTCATATTTTACTAATAACACTTTTTTATATATTAGGTTAGGCTCTTCAGCAAAAAATATTTGGAAAATTAGCTTACTTCATTTTTTCAGTGGTTGTATTTATTCATTTATGTCACTGATATTACTGAGCCCTAGGGTAAATAATGCAAATCAAGCAGATAAATCCCAAACTACATGAACTGTTTACATATCAAACCTCATTGGCATCTTTAAAATAGGTGCTGTGAGAAGTTGTTCATTTCTACAGGTGCTTCTCTTTCAGAATTTCCTATAGCTTCCTCTAATCCTGTGTGAGTGTTTGCTTTTATGGTATATATTTCAATTATGGACATGAATAAACATTATGCAAATTTAAAGACAACAAATTAGTTAACATGGTAAAGTTATTTTTCCCCCCATTGGATTACCCAGCACTCTGTTTTGCTCATTAATATTACAGAGAGGGTGTGATAGTTGTGTATTTGACTTTCAATGTAAATCAATCTCTCTCTCTTTCTGTGCTAGGGATTGAACTTGGGGGTACTTTATTACTGAGTTATATCCCAAGACCTTTTTAATTGTTTGTTTTGAGATAAGGTGTCATTAAGTTGCTGAGGCTGGCCTTGGACTTGTGATCCTCCTGCCTCCTGAGTTACTGGATTACAGAAGTGCATCACTGTACCTGGCTCTATTAGTATTTATCTAATAGTAATCCTTTCAAGATTTTCATGAACTGTTGTTTACATATCAATCCTCATTGGCATCTTTAAAATAGGTGCTGTGAGAAGTTGTTTTCCCAGCAGTGAATGCCAGAATTTTAGGGTCATTCTTTCTAAAGCTTTCCCATTCGATTTTGAAGAAAAGCACTCAAATATTTAGTCACTTTTTTTTTTTTTTTTGGTACAGGGGATTGAACTCAGGGGCACTGAACCACTGAGCCACATCCTCAGCCCTATTTTTATTTTATTTAGAGACAGGTTCTCCCTCAGTTGCTTAGTGCCTCACCTTTGCTGAGGCTAGCTTTGAACTCATGATTCTCCTTTTTCAGCCTCCCAAGCCACTGAGATTACAGGCGTGCGCCTCTGAGACTGGCTATTTAGTCAGTTTTTCAAGCAGACAATTCTGTTGGTCTATAAATGTGCTCTCTACACTTAGCCTATGTCTGAGTTTGTTAAAGGATGTGAAATGTAACATAGAAATAAAAAAGGTAAAAATCCCAAAGTGATAAGTGTTTTCCTTGAGTTTAGAAGATGCTCAAACATGTATCAAGATTTCCCTGCTTCCTGCTCTATTCATCCTACTTTTTATGTTTGGTGTGTTCTCCATTTGTTACCAACTGTAATGTACCTTTTAACCATCAGCCCTGATCTCTTCTGTTGTGATGATTTCAGGTCATTTAAATTGTGCCATATAGTATAGCTACAGAATAGTCATTTAATCTCGGTTAGATATATGCTTTTAAAGCAAATTGCATAAGTTCCTATGACAATATCAAATAAGCGAGTGTATGAGGAATAAAGAATACTTGAACAGAAGAAATAATGTAGAAGACAAATTTATGGGGTTGGCTTGCAGTTGTGTATGTAATTGTATCAGGAACAAAATAAGACTTGTAAGAAAAAAATCTACTTTAGTTAGGGAGGGAAAAGGAAGAATTCAACCTTTTAATTTATAGTGAATAGAATATACATTATTTATTGGGTATATCCGAGATCCAAGATTTTTGCAAGGAGGAAGTTAGGTAAAAGAAAATGTGTATGAAACTCATAAGCTTTTATATGTTTTACACTTTTAGAAATATTAAGCTCTGAAAGGCAGGGATACTCATATTTTTATACTCTATAGAAAGAGTTTCCATTGTAAATATGAACAAGAAAGGGTAGTGATTCAGTATTTGTAATTTTTTCACCATTGAATATGATCAATTTTCAACTTACAATTTTACAGGTATCTACAGAATATTGGACATAACAGATCCAGGATTCATAAGACTTTATCACCTTGAATCAAGGATTTATTTGATATTCTCCTAAGTCTTTACTTCATATCAAGTAACATTTTTTTAAAAAGAACACATTTGCCATAAGGGAGTTTTTAAAAATAATACTTCTCGTATTTTCCAATGCCTAAAAATAGCAAGGTGGTAAAAAGAGAATTAGACGATGAGGTTATTGAGTCTGTCAAAGACCTTCTTTCCAATGAAGACTCTGTGGATGATGCTTTTAAGAAGAGTGAACTAATTGTTGATGTCCAAGAGGAGAAAGATTTAGAAGTTGAAGAAGGATCTGAAGCTGAAGATGAAAGACCAGCTTGGAACAGTAAGCTCCAATACATCCTGGCTCAAGTTGGATTTTCTGTAGGTTTGGGGAATGTGTGGAGATTCCCATACCTCTGTCAGAAGAATGGAGGTGGTAAGTTCTTTGTTTTAAGTGATAAAGTACTGGAGTAGTAAATTGCATTTGATTATTTCAAATAGCTCCCATTGTTAGTCTCAGTATTTTTGAAACTATGAATTCCATTGCAAAGCTAGGGAGACCCATTTGTGGGAAGTGAGCCCAGCTCTGTTTTCAGATTAGGTTTCCATAGGAACAGATTGGCTTGCTGCAAATACTCAGGGAATGCTTAAGGGTAACACATTCTCAAATTCTTTCTGTGAATGTTATAAACATCTCTGGATTTCTGACTGGAACTTTTCTAACAAATGTTACATCCATTGTGCCTGTCATTTATTCCCTTTGAGAACAACCTAAAGTTTCTGACATAAGCCAACATTGGTGAAGGAAGGCAGAGAGAATTTTCTCCCTATGGACTCATTAACTCTGAATTTTAATTTGCCTCACTCTTTATAAAGCAAAACTGACATGCAGTGTGGAATGAATATGGTCTTTAAATGCTGACCAGGACTTTTAGAGCCAGTAGAAGGAATGGCACCAGATAATTAATATAATGCCAGTCTTCTTCATCCTTAAAGATCTTAAATCTTTGGTTTATAGTTCTATAGTTTTTGAAACAATAGTCAGTTTAAATACATGAGTATTTTTAATTTTAAGCAAAAATTACTGAACCATCATTGATATTCCTGCTATTTGTTTTTGTGCATATAATCATCCAAACTTCCTTAGTAGATATTGTCTTCAAAATCTAGGGAAAAAAATCTAAACAGAGGAAGAAATTGTTGATGTATGAAATTAATTTTGTAGCACATCAATATCAAACAGAATGTGGATTGAAATTTTATTATCTATATACATGAAAGCTGTTAAAATAAGTATGACTAAATCCCGAATATCCCATAAGTTATACATATCATCACACAAAGAATAGACACTATTTGATTCAAGCCTATGATAATTGTTTTGATTGGACAAAAAAATGTAGTTGAAATCTTAATCTACAATTGCTGCATCAAATTAAATAAAATAAACCTTTGTATGTGAATTTTTTTCCCCTTAGTAACAGATAAAAAGCTAAGGTTTTATAGTAACAAAATATATTTAAGCTGGTTAATTCATCCAGGTACAAAACAAGAGGCTTGGGAAAAGTAGCTTATCTGACAAATCTTCTGATAGGTAAGAATTAATATTAAAGTCCTGATGCATCACCCATCAATCACTGAGAGCTGTGGTCTCCTCAGCTGGTCACTAGCATCACATAAGACTTAAATTATCAAATCAACTATAAGCAACCAGACAAAACTTAAATTTTTGTTTCTCAAAATATATTCAATTTTCCAGGACTGGCAGAAGACAAATTCTGATTTTGAGATCTTTTTCTTTGGAGAACTACTAGCCATACTAAGGAAGAAAGCTGTCTTGACTGAAAAGTCAGATTGTGCATTCCAATCTATCTTGATTGGGCACTTTAAGAGATTTCATATTTAGTAATTTGTTATTAGCAAACATGGATCTTCCATTTTATTTCCATATGTAAAAATGTGAAAATATTTCTGTATTTTGTAGTGTTGCTTTCTACCTTCTGAACACAAAGACTTGAGAGCTGCATTGCATGTATAATAAAACAAGAGGTTTTATAATTTAAGATGGCATTAGAGGACTAAAGGTTACACTCAGCATGTAGTATAGTACTGAGGTTTCACAGTCATTTAGCCCAAGAGCCTGAGGCTACAAAAATCTTATTCATTAATAATTTGAGGCACCTTATGAACCACAGGAAAAAATAATAAATCCCCAAATAAGTTGATTTATCTGAAGATATCATACTTCAACCACAGTGATTAAGCTTAGTAAGTGCTATATAGAAAATAACTCGATCTTATTTTGAAGTCACTTTGGTTGTTTTCCATATTTGGCACCATGTGACCTTTCACGAGTCACCACATGAGTTAAATGGGGTTAATACTTGTACTTGCTCACTGGATTCTTGTAAGGAAGAAATAACTATATGTAATGGTCTTAGAAATGTGCCTGGAAAATAGTGAGTTCTTTAATAGTAAATATTATATTTTAGTTAGGACTTTTAAATATGAGACTAAAGTTAGAATCTTTTGAGTTAAAGGAAAGGGTTGTGTATATAGTAGCATATCCTGTACACATAACAGGAAAGATTCCCAATGAGTCCAGTCTTAAGTCTCTCTCTCTTTCTTTTATTTTCCTTAGCTGTTCACATGTTCATAAATTCATTCACTATCTTAAAGTTTGATCCTGGTGTTGAAATTCATTTTCAGTCCTTTGGGAAACATGTTCCAGTCAGGAGCCCCTGAATGTTACTCATCATTTTAGAATTAGAATTTAGGTAATTTTGTTTTGTAAGTTCAGGCATCATGCTTTAACTTATATTACCCTTTGTAGAGTCAACTAAAATCTGAAAGATTGAGATTAATAGGGAGGTAGAAATTATATATCAACCACTGTATTAGGGGGAATTACTATATAAAGTTATCACTGAAGAGATGTATAGATACTGAGATAATTAATTTGAAAATAATCTATTACTATTTACTTCTTCTTTGGAAGATATTCAGATTGCCAGAACAATCTGAATTCTTCCAAAATCTATTAAATAACATTAAACACATTTTTTAAAATATGGGATATATAATAAATGACCTCATAAAAATGAGAATTAGTACCATCAATTAAAGGCCTTCCTGCTACACTTAACAGACTATAGTTGGACCACACTTAAGATAAGAAATATGAATGTAAAAAGTCCAACTTAAAGGTATTTATTAATAATTTGCATGTTTTTCTCATGTGGAAATGAGTACAGGTTTCATGATTAAATTGTTTATCTAATTAATTGGATCTAATATTAATATTGACAAATCATTCATTATATTTTAAAATCACTCGTCATATGTCTTCACTTGGAACTTAAATGGAAAATAGTTCTCTCTTCCTGGCACATGCATTTTTATAATAGACATCAACTATTTCAGTTCTTCAATTACTTGTGCCCTTCTTACAGATTTGAGGAAAAATTTTTTCCTGACATGTGCTTTTTTATGTAATGTACATGAGAAAAATGACATTTGACCCTGGTAGAAGTCATTTTGTCATTTTTTAAAAATTTCAGATTAGGCAGTCGTTTTTTATTCTGTGATATTACTGTGTTTGGAAAACAAAAAGTCACTTTTAATACACATAAAATCTCATTCACTCCAGTTTTTCAGATTGGGAATATATGATTTAAATCAGTTTATATAGCTATTAATAAATGACTTTATAAACATTATATGAAGCTTTCTAGGAATTTGTAAAATCTACTCCAGAAAACAATTACTTTTTGATTTACCTCCATTTAAAAACATAGTGTATTGTAATTATACACAATAGTGGAATTCCTTGTTACAGATTTGTACATGAACAAAGTATAGCAATACAATATCATCAGTTTCTTTCCCCAGTACCTCCCCTTTTCTTCCCCTCTTTTCTCCTTATAGGCCCTTCCTCTGTTCTATATGTCTCTCTTCTCTTTACATGAGATTTCTCCCACATTTTTAGGTGATTTTAAATTGAGTTGATTTTAATGAATCAATTATTTAATTGGAAAATGAAGAAGCCATTTTACCTTAGCCAAAAAAATAAACTATTAATAGCTTTTTATCATAATTATTTTATCAAAAAGTTTTTATAGAAGTCAAATCCAGGTTTAAAAATTTTGAAAGTTTGAAGTAATAAAATTAAATTTTCTTTAATGTCATCTATAATTATAACTTAAAGAAGCTCAAATATTGTCTTTCATGTAATAGAATTAATTTGTTCTCTACTGTGACTATTAAAAATATAATCTGTTTTATTTGTTCTTGTCTCTGTAGGTGCATATCTTTTACCATATTTAATACTACTTCTGGTAATAGGTATTCCCCTTTTTTTCCTGGAACTTTCTGTGGGTCAAAGAATTCGGCGAGGCAGCATTGGTGTGTGGAACTACATAAGCCCCAAACTGGGTGGAATTGGATTTGCAAGTTGTGTAGTAAGTGTTCTGGTGGTGTATGTAATATTTTCAGGGTTTGGAATGATATAATTCATATCTAAATGAAACCTCAGAGTGCGTTTAATTAGGTTTTAAGAACATTACTGGAGTATAGACTAATAGACAAGATGGACTGTAAATATTAATGTAGCTCAATCTCAATAATGCATGCTTTAAGGCCTTCAAGTTTCATTGACTTTTAAGAAAATATAATGTGTTTCAAATAGAAAATAAAATGAGGAGAATTTTTAAAATGTTAAATGGAGTTTTATGTATTACATCTCTTTTTAAAGGATGAGGCATGGGAGAGATTTAATGCAATCATATTATTTCATTTTGCAGGTATGCTATTTTGTGGCTCTTTACTACAACGTCATCATTGGCTGGACTCTGTTTTACTTTTCTCAATCTTTTCAGCAACCTCTACCTTGGGATCAGTGTCCTTTGGTGAAAAATGCTTCACATACTTGTAAGACATGTGCAATGTAGTGTCTGTATTTAAAGATTCTAAGATTTTTTAAAGCACACATTTTCAAAATTATTTTTTGCCTTTTGAAAATTATGTGGAAAAATCTTTCAAAATTATCATCATGACAGACTTCCTTCTTTTTCTGGATTGGCATACTCAGAGAGAGAGTCTTAGTTATCATCTGATTTTACTGACTCTTTCCAACTTATTTTACTTGTCCTGTGTCATTAAGGTTAAATATTTTAAGGTTAAATATTTAAACATTTAAGGTTAAATATTCACTTATAAATGTTGAGCCTTTTTTATTGCGTACCCTAATTGATACCTTACATATTTATTAAAACCTACAAAAAAGTGGCAGAAATATGAATGTGAACTATAGTAATGCCTTTACATCTTTGGTTCTATTTCTTGGTAGGTTTCTCATCATAAAAAAAAAAAACAAACAGAAACAAAAACCCAAGAATATAAAGAACAATATCCTGTATAATAGAACTCATGTATGTAGCTTAAAATTTTCTAGTAGCCACATATAAGAAATATGAAAAGTAATATTTTATTTATTCCAATTATTCTAAATATTATGCTTTTAACATATAATTAATATAAGTATTATTAACATAATAATTTAAAATTTTCACATATGAAGTCTGAAATACAGTTTGAATTTAAAGCACATATTGCTTTAGGCTAGCTTCATTTCAAAAGTGTGTGGCTAATAGCTAGAGTTGTGGTGACAGTACTACCCAAGGATATCAATCAGATCATTATGGGAGTGATAGGTGCAACATACTTAATTTGTTTTAATTATTTTGATAAGAATCTCACATATTCTCACTTCAGAACTTCATAATAGGAAATATCAAGGAGGACAGATGTCATTTTGTTTTCCATTTTTTTGCATTGTTTTTTATCCTTCCTATGAATTTAAATGCTGGTGTACAATAGCAGTAATTTTCTAGAGAATGTTAAGAACGGATTTGCAGGCTTACTGAAAAAAAATGGACTAATTTCTCTATATAATCTGAAATGATTTCTTGTGTTACCTTTCTTTCTATAGTGATAGAGCCAGAATGTGAAAAAAGTTCTGCTACCACCTACTACTGGTACAGAGAAGCCCTGAATATTTCCAGTTCCATTTCTGAAAGTGGGGGCTTGAACTGGAAGATGACTGTCTGCTTGCTGGCTGCCTGGGTCATGGTTTGCTTGGCAATGATCAAAGGCATCCAGTCTTCTGGAAAAGTTAGTATGTTAGAGCCACTCCTGATTCTACTAAGCACCATTCCCTTACCTCCCACCCCGAGTTGTCACAAATTTGTATAGCATTTTATTCTAGGTAAAGACTGGTGGAAAAACGCTTTTGAAAATGTGTTTAGGAAAGGACATAAATAAAGATATAAGTATTTTATAGTGAAATTTAATGTCATGTGTTACCTTTCCTTATTTCAGCAAAATCTTCAAAATTTTTGTCCATACGTAAAAGACCTTTATTTTTGTCATTGTTGTTATTTATGCAGTTGGCCATTATGTTTCAATTTTCTCATTACCATTTAGTTCCAATCTTGGAAACTGGGGAAAGTAGTGTAATGAATAATGCATTTATTCTGTTTTATATCATGCATTTCTCTTCTGTAGGGATTCTAATGAATCGTTGCATAAAGAATTTTAAAATTATGTAATATGGAATGTTTCTTAAAGTTCTAAACATCAATTATGTAGTTTTGATAATAACAGGGAATTCAGAGTCATATAAAAGACTTAAGAGCTTGTCTACCAGGACAAATTGAAAATTTGAAGAAGCTGTAGTTGAAAATACCTTAAGTGAATTCTAGATGTCTTGGCTTGTTGTTGCTGTTCTACAGGATGCATGTATCTTTTTTCAGGGTAACTCACCATCATTTATTAGTAGGAGTGGAAATAGTAATAGTAACATTAGTAGTTAATAATAACAATAATAATACCAACAATAATAATATGTTGGTAAAGAAAACAATTTGTGCAAAAACAGTAATAGAAGTCACTATTTAGTACATGTTTATTTTGCTCTGGGCACTGGGATAACTACTTGTTATATTTTATAATTATATAAGTAATTCTCAGAAGTAATTGCTATTTTTCAGGCCCATTTTACAGAAATTAGGTAACTTGCCCAAAGTTTCATGGCACAAATCTGTCTAAATCCAGAACCTGTGTTCAGTGATAATAATGCTAAAATGCCCATCGTTCTGATGTTTGAAATTACTAGTTAGTGAACTTTTCAGGGTCAGAAGTCTATCTAATTCATCTTTGCTTCTTGTTATTTTCAATTAAAATAATTATGAGTTTTTAACTTATAAATCATAGTTCATTTTGCATTTATCTTCTCACTGGAAACTTTATGCTATTTTGCCATTGAAGCAGTAAATACAATGCATAACACATCTGAATATCTTTAGATCTTTCAAAACTGTTATTGTATTTAATGTTTAAGTAAGTACAAAAAGTGTGTTCTATGTCAGAGTCACGTTACAGTTATATTATAAATAAAGGAATAGAATTGAATCCAGATCTGACCACATTTAAATGATTCCTAAGATAAGCATGTATAAAAAGAGAACCAATTGGATGAACCAGATGTTAAAAAATCATTGTTTTCAAGTTCTTTTACCAAAAGTTTGTTCCTTTTTTTCTTAGTGTTTATCTTATCACCAAAGAGCTGCTCATTTTTTAAAAAATAGTTCTTCTTTAATTTTTTATTACATATTGACAAAGTTGTATATATTTATGGGGTACAAAGTTAGTATTATGATTTTTGAGCATAATGTGGAAAGATTTAATCAAACTAATTAACATATCTGTCACCTAAAATTTTTAACATTTTTTGTAAGGAGATCATTTGAAATTTCTTCAGCAATATTGTTGTTTTTTTTCCTAATGTCATGTAATATATCAAATGAAATATAACAATGTATATAGTACATACAATTTATTGTTTTGATGAGAAGGCTTGGGAAGACAGTGACATTGGGGTAAAATCTAAAGAAAGAATTTAATAGTTCAGATGGGAAGAAAGCTAACCATAAGTAATATGATCAGTAATATGAAAAATTATTATAATTTCTCAATCTGGAACAAGGTGATAATATAATAAAATGAAAATTATGAGGAATATAAACATATATACATATATATATATATATATATATACACATACATTTACATTTATGTATGTATGTATATATATAAAGTTTTGTATTTGCCTACACCCCCTGAAAAAAACCTCCAAATAAAGAGTTACACCAGTACAAAGAAATATGGTGTAAATGTTGTATGTGCAAAACTTTCACAGAGAATTTAGCAACTAAAAGAAAAACATGAGTTAGCTTGTGATATGCTTCATCAGAACTCACGTGCAACACATATGCTCACATGCTAATTGGAAGCTGCATGATTTAAAAGGGGTGTGATAGTGTCATTATCCTTTGGGTCAGGTAGACACACCACAGCTGGGCCACATCTACTGGGTTTAATTGAAATCTTATTTTTCCCTTCATTATAGAGTGGGGAAATAGTTGCTCTGGGATCAAAATCTTCTTTATAGTCAAACCGAAAGAAGAATAAGGTTGTTCTGTGTGGATACAGAGAACAGAACTATTATCCAATATGGGGATCATGGAGGGTGGGGGAGTGCTTTTCAGGAGTGAGGCCTCCTAACAAATCTGTTCCTCAATGGTAGAGCTCAGCATCATTGATCAGAGGCTACACTGTCTCCTCATGGCAGCATCTATTAAGGGGTCTCCTACTCAAAGAGAAAGTACAAAAATGAGAACCTCTAAGGTTACTTCCAAAATAATGTTTTCTACCAGTACTGCTTTGCAGTTACTGCCAGAACTGTGTTAAATATTTTGCATATATTAGCTCATTGTATCTATCCATCATGAGTTGAATATTTTTATCCTCATTTTATCACAAAGTTGACAAACTTGGAAGGAATAAATAATTGTCCAGAATTAAATAGCCAATAAATGGCTCATGGAAGGAAAACTGGTGACAAAATCCTCATAAATAATGATTCTTTCTGAGGGTGTTTTTATAATAAAGGAAAAGGAAGATAAGATGTAAAGAAAAACTAGTTTATTTTGTTTTCTAGTTTTTTTGAGAGTTCAGCAAAACAAAATTATTTTTTACAATATTTTGATTGCTAAACTCTTTATTTATTTATTTATTTATTTTTGGTACCAGGGATTGAAACCCAAGGGTGCTTAACCACTGAACCATATCCTCAGAGCCCCCCTTTTTAAAAAAATGTTTTATTTAGAGATAGGGTTTTGATGAGTTGCTAAGTGACTTGCTAATCTTCTGAGATTGGCTTTGAACTCAAAATCTTCCTGCCATTTTCTKAAAAGACTTGCTGTGAAGTGTTTTAACTAAAAGGTTGAGGGGAATCTAAAAAATTAGCCAATGGAATATATTACATTGCTTCATCTCTCTGTTCTAAAAGTACACACTTTTGGACATCTGGGGCATGATTCAGGCTTTCACTGATTTGTGTAACAAATATTTATTGAACACTTAATAAAAAACACTTATAAAAAACTTATAAAGCAGGTTTCTGTTTTCATGGAATTTCTATTCCAGTGACAGGGGCAATAAACCACAAATTTACAAAATAATTTTAGTTAACAATGTGAAAATAACAATGTATACAATTTTAGGTAACAATGTGTGTAGTATGTATGATAAAGGAACTTTAGGCAATAATGCATATAATAAAAATAATTTGGGGGACTTGTGGTTGTGGCTCAGTGGTTAAGCACTTGCCTTATATGTGTGGGGCACTGGGTTCCATTCTCAGCATCACATAACAAATAAATAAAATAAGGRCATTGTGTCCATTGACAACTAAAAAATATTTAAAAAAATAATTTTGGGTAGCAATGTATAAAATGTTTAGATGTGTCTGTGCTATATATAGCCAGTAAGGTTGAATTTATCCTATTTTTAAATATATTGTACAGCTGTCTATTTTGATGTAATAAGATTAGAGCCATATGATTAAACGCAAAATTTTTTTTTATTTAAAAACAACAGGGATGCTTCTGCATTGTGTTAAGATATATCTTTTGCATCTTGGAATTTAATAATTCAATATTTTATCCTTATATCTGCTCACAGAAAAATAAGATTGAAATGTGAGCTACTAAGTACAACTTTTGTTTAAAATATTGATTGTTATTTTTCTGTATTTTATGATTGAAATATTTCTGTTCCTTGTTAGGAAGTTATATTAGTTATCTTATCACTGTATCCAGATCAGTGTCTTTAAGAATTCACATATGTGTTGAATCAAGAAATGAAAATTGAAATAAGTCTGATTATACAATTAATATGAAATTAAGAAATACTATAGGATGAAAATAATTTTAAGGGAATATGTACAAAAAGGAAAATTTAATTTCATGTAAGTTCTTTTCAAAGTGCAATATTTTTGATTATATACTATATATCAGGCACTGAAGGATATGTAAATATTAATAGACCATAATCGTTCCCTCATGAAACTCACAATTTAATGGTATAGATATGTATCATAAGTGCAGTAATAGAAAAAGCTCTTGATAGAATCAAGGTAACTTTTGAAATTAACCTGAATTGGGGGTAAGATTTCAAAGAGGAGGTAACTTTAGGGCTAAGATTTGATGGTTGAAGAGAAGATTTTCAGAAAATTCAGAGAGAACACTGTAGACAGAGAAAACAGCATGCTCAAAGCCCAAGGATTACTGAGTACTCCTGTGTGACTTTTACCTACAATTTGTGCAGTTTGTGGGAAACAAAGCATGAGATGTAAGTTGATTACAGATATTGAGGTATTTGTGGATATTGGTAAAATAATGGGCTTTGACTTAACAAAAACTGTGGAATGTTTGAGGATTTTCAGCAGGTCAGTGACACGATGAGATCTTTAGAAAGCTCACGCTGGAAGTAGTATGAATATTGGATTTCTCAGATTCAGAGGGGAGCTGCCAGAATGTGGAGGAAAGATAATCTGGAACTACTGTCAGAATGAAAGTGGCATGTCACTGAGGATGGAAAGAGAGCTGTGCAATATCTGTGGCAGAATCAATTGGACTTGGTGATCAATTGGTTATAACCATTGGGAAGAGGGACATATTGAGGATTTGTTGGAATTGATTAGCTTGGAAAAAATATAAGAGGAAACTTTTCTTCCCTTAGTGCCTACTTTGAAATGTTACTAAAAATATAAAAGTAAAATATAAATGTAAAATAATTAAGAGTAAAAAATAAAATAGAAATATAAAATTTAAAAAGTTTATTTTTTGGAAAAATAATTTACCTATTCAGACTATTTTATTATGTAACCTTCATTTCTACTTTCAAAATAAGTGGGATTAATGGAATTCATTTAAGTCACTAATGAGGTAGCAGATTGGAGTTTTGTCCAAAAAAAAAAGTTTATTATACAAAAGAGAATTCATGCTTTTGACTATGTTTAAACACTATGAAGAAGAATAATAAAGGGCATAGCTTTAAATCAAGTGAAATCAAGACAAAGGATAAATTTAAAAGATATTAAAAGTGAGCAGGGAGAAAAATAAAGCCACAAATGTAAGTGAAGAAATATAATCAAAGTATTAAAACAACCTATAATAATTGGACAACTGTATTTTTACAACTAATTAAAGTAAAATATAGATATTTTATTTATTATTTTGATTTTTAATATGCTGAGATCTTATACATAACATTTTTCTTTGGGTCTTTCACGTGTTTAATTGTGATGATTAAGTGGGTAAAACTATACAGGAAATGCAAATTACTGTCATGCTTTTTCTTGTATGTCATTTTTAGTAAATATTGAATTCAGTCTCTTTCCTGACCTGAGCCATGCTATGTGATGGAAGTTTTTTTCCATTCTTTCTGCCTCCCAAACCACAGTCCTTCCTTCCACAGATATATAGCATATAACTATGGCATGTCAGCTCTTTGAGATATGGCAGTGAATAGAAAAGACCCTGGCCCTCACAGAGCTTATATTCCAGGAGAGGGTACAGAAAATAATTGAACACGTAAACAATTTCAGCAGTGCTAAGTGTTGTCATAAAATAACCAAACCAAACCAAACAAGGTTATATCATTACCTTTCCTGGGGCAGAGGGGAAAGGCACATGGGAGATACAGAATAGAAAAATACATGGCCTTATTTTGGGTGGTCAGGGAAGACTTATGGGAGAGGATAAAGATGAGATTTAAGTAATAAAGAGGATCAAGTTAGGTGCAAAAGAGGGAAATGTGCAAACTTAGTACACCCACAAGACAACAAAGGTCTGAAGGACCAAAGCTCAGCAGGGGAGAGAGATGGACAGCAGGCTCTCTAGTGCACAGCTTTGCTAGCCAGAGGGAGCAATGAGCCTTTAATTCCAGTGGTATTAGAAACTCCGTGAAAAGCAGTGAATGATATAGCCCGAGGGTAGCATGGAAAAAACAGTTGAAAGACTATTACAAATAGTCCAGGAGTGCTTCTAGATGTTTTGCTTCAGCAACTGAATGGATGGCGGACTATTTTCTGAAAGAAGATAGTTGAGAAGAGCTTTTGGGAAATTGAGAAATTTGCTTCCAGACCTGAAACATTTTAGAGACCTATTAGACCTACGGAGATTTCAAGGTAGCAGAATGTTTGGGGAGAACCTTTCCTTTGAAGTGATTAACTATTTGCTGAACTGTTTAATTTAGTGGGAAAAGTTGCTGAAGCAGAAGGTAGAAATTTTACATGGTTGGTTGTTCAGTTTGTATAGGAGACAGTGTAGAGACCATTCTCTGCTTTGTAGAATTTATCAGAATTATAATGGAACTTTGATTAAAAGAAAGGAACAACTTAAATAGAAGTAGGAAATTTTTAGGAATTAGTTTCCTAGTTTTTTGTTGTCAATGTTGCTTGTTTTGTGAACTATTATAAGGAATCAATACTATTCCAGATGTATTGTATCTATGGACTATTAATTCAAAAGAGATTAAGTAAAAGTTTCCTTAAGCGCTCTCTCTCTCTCTCTCTCTCTCTCTCTCTCTCTCTCTCTCTCTCTCTCTCACACACACACACACACACACACACACACATACATACACATACTATTTGGCCATTTAGCCAACAGAATGAAATCCTATCATTTACAACAATGTGGATGGAATTGGAGGATACTATCTTATTTGAAATAAGCAGGCAAGAAAGATAAGTACTGCACGTTCTCACTCATGTGGAAACTGAAGATGTTCATCTCATAGAAACTGAGAGTAGGATGGTGATCACTAGAGCCTGAGATGGGGAAAGAGGACAGGGAGAGAGAGAGGTTGAATAACAGGTTCCAAAATACAATTAGGAGGAATAAATCCTAGTGTTCTGTAGCACAATACAGTGACTATAGTTTACAATAATTTATTATATATCTCAAACTAACTAGAAGAAAGGAATTTGAAGGTTCCTAACAAGTTAATTGTCCCTATTTGGTGCTTACACATGTATACACGTGTATACATGTATTAAATTATTGTACTGTATCCCATAAATACATGCAAATATTATCTACCATTTAAAAATGAAAAATAAACTTTTAGCATTTTTTCATTATGTCTCAAATATGATCTTTGATAAGGCTGAATCAAGACTAAAATCTATTCCTAAAAGATGGCTTTATAAGTCATGAGTATTAGGATTAGTTATAGAAACTGTGACTCTGAATACATATAAAAGAAGAGCAGTTTTAACTGTGAAAATAGTTTTTTTGTGAATCTCATATAATTTTATTTTTCTTTCTTGCAGATTATGTATTTTAGTTCTCTGTTCCCATATGTGGTACTTGTATGCTTCCTAACTAGAGCACTCCTTTTAAATGGCTCAACTGATGGTATCCGCCACATGTTCACCCCTAAGGTATGTGCCATACTTCTATTTAAAGTGTATCATCAGGAAAGATTCATGTATATTGTTAAATATATTTCCACAGTTACATTTCAGGGATAATTGTTCCAACATATGTACATTAGGCTTTTTCCCCCTTAGTATTTTGGGTACCAGGGATTGAACTCAGAGGTGCTTAAACACTGAGCCGCATTCCCATTCCTTTTTTTTTTCATATTTTATTTAGAGACAGGGTCTCACTGAGTTGCTTAGAGCATCTCTATGTTGGTGAGGCTGGCTTTGAACCTGTGATCCTCCTGCCTCAACTTCCCAAGCAGCTGGTATTACAGGTGTGTGCCACTGCTACGGACTACATTAGACTTTTAAATTATAATTATGTTAACCATCCTAGCAAAACTAAAATGTTTAGATATCTATAATTAAATTTATCTATCTCCAATGATAAAGGTCCCATTTTACTTTTAGACTAAGATGATCAGAATTTAAACTTCAAAAATCCTTCTCTTAAAATTAACTTCCAATTTTCACAGTAAAATTCTAGAACCTTTCAATCTTCACTTATTCTTCCCTTTCTATTTCAGTGGTTCTTAGCCTTTTTTGTGTCCTGAAATCATTTGAAAAACCAACAATAGTATATTGCTATCAGAAGATACAAACATAATGAGCATATTAATTTGCTTGGAGTTTCAGGAGATTAGCAGATCACCTGAAATCCATGGGCTTACCTTAAAGATGCCCATCCCCCTACATTCTAGAATATTGTTTCATAGAAAATCTAAATTTTTTTTAGTTTTTGTTTTGTTTTGTGTTTTTTTGTATCTCCTGGAAAAAAAAATATGTGTAGTGCTTATCTTGGAAATTTTTATAAATGCTTATATATTTCAGAAAAATTCTCACTGGGCTTCCTAGAGTTATTAGAACTCACGCTGTCATTCAACTTAGTAGAGCTGAACTCAGTGCTAGGCACAGGGAAACTGGTTATTCAGAACTTGGGGATTTGATCATAACTTGTTAGTTTGATTTGGCAGGCCTTCAAAAATAAATTTTGGGGAGCACATATTTTTGTTATTCACTAAAATGAAAGGCTCTTCACTTTGAATTTCCTGATGCTATCATAGGCAGACATAAAGGTATGACAGTACAAAGACAGCTTCCAAAGTCATTCAGAAGTTGGAATTTATCTGAACGGCTAATGTACAGCTTGTACGGGCTGCGACTGGGCAGGAGGGATTCACTTCTGTGGAATTCTCTGTGTCTTCTGGCAGCTGCCTTGATAGGAGCTAAACACAGCTGTGTTCTCTCTGTGTCTGGTTTTGAGTTGATATTACTCTGTAGTCGCAAAAGTGCTGACATTGGTGTCTGGTTTTCTTGCCTAGTTCAAAAGTCCTGTGTAATTTAGAGTTGTTGGAACCTGTACTCAGGGAGAAACTAGAATTATAAATTTCAGCCACATTTATAATTAAAATCTGCTTGAAATGAGCCATACTTAGTGACCCCAAACATTTATATTTATAATATTGGAAAAAAATATTTTCTAAGCTAGAGACAACCAAATTCTTTATGAATTTCTGGAATCTATCTGCTTTCTAAATTGTCAATTTCTTGTGACAATTCTAAACATTTGATTTCATAGATATTTTAGAATTTGATATAGGACCTTTACATGGCCCCACAATTGAAAAATGCAGCATAAATTAACATTTTTAGCCTGGAGTAGGAATTACTATTAAAATGTTATTTTTTTTTCTTAATTCACTTTTCATTGACTATTGAATGAGTTGCTGTATTAGGTCAGCATGTAGGAAATGATAGCTAATATAAAAATGATAGTAATTTTAAATTACCTTTTAACTTATAATGTTTATGTAGGGTAAAAAACGTACCTAAGTATGCAAAATACTTTGAAAGAACTAAATCGAAGAAATCTGAACACTGCCTTTAGTAAATAGGTATTTCCTGCCATCTAGTGGGCCAAATTGAGATAGGCACTTGCATGTCTGACCAGCATTTCTCAGACTGGTAATGCAAAATGGTGAATGAATGTTGTATGTATCTTAGTTAACCGCTCATAAATTATAAATATAATCATGATTATGTTTGACAAGAATATTTAATAATTTTTTAAAAATAATAAGGACTAAAATTAAGTGAAACAACAAATCCTAACACCTGAGAGGGCATGACTTTTTGGAATTTACCTATTTTCATATTTTACTTCGACCACAAAACTTCTGTGAAATCTTAGGGAGTTTTGCTGGCCTCTGAAAGATAAGATAATAGTAACCACAACTTAATGGGCTGTTGTGGATTTTAAACAAGATAAGCTATATATGATGCCTATCAGTGTGTCAGCCACTATAGTTTATATATGTTTTCAATTATTGAGAACTTAAAGTAGGGTAGGTACTGTGGTAGTAATGCATGTCTTGTTACTTCCATCTTTCTGTTGAGGAGGTTGAAACTCAGATCTCACTATTATTCAATCATTAAATGGCAGAATCAGGATCTGAAACTCTGTGGAGTTCATTTCTTAACCACATTTGACCCTGCTCTCATAGGGTTAATTTCACTAAAGAGGTAAAAAGTACAATTTAAACATTAGTTACTATTAAAATAGAACTTAAATGTCTATTGAGGTCTATGTCAACTATAGCTAATAATAGTTGGTGTATAAAAAGTTTTGTTTGTGTCTTTGAAATAATCTGATAGTTACCTAAGAAGTAAAGCCATAGTTACTTAAAATATGTGTTCACAGATTCAGAACATTAGAACATTGTATCTGAAAGGGTATCTTATAGGTTGCATAGTTGAATTTCTTCTATTCTCAAAGAAAAATCTTTCAGGAAAGTTTTGAATGAAAACTCTGAAACAACGTTGACATAGTTCAACTCTACCAAGTTGATGATTGCTTTCTGCTTCAACCACTAGATTTCCAGAAGACACAGAATGGAAGAGTATTTAGTAAAATAATTATTTAACCTTTACTAGTAATTGATTTATTTTGCTTTGGAAAGAAAAAAAGACAAATGGGAAATAATTGAAGATAATTTATTTTTCTTTCATATGCTTCTGTGATAATTTGCTGTAAAATACTTAAAATTCCTATATAAGGTAAAGAATTTTGATGTTAGTAAAGCCTCCATGTAAAGGCTTGATAATCTTTCCTATTCATATTCTTTGATTATTTCTCTAAAGAAGAAAAGATTTCTGCTTAAGAACATATTATCCTCCAGATTTTAATACCTTTTGGGTGCATAAATGTCATTGTAATTTATTTAAAAATAGAACTACTGCCATATGAGTTAATTATTTTGTAGCTGATTTCTATTCTGTTTAATTTCAAACAGCTTGAAATAATGCTGGAGCCCAAGGTGTGGAGAGAAGCTGCTACTCAGGTGTTCTTTGCCTTAGGTCTGGGATTTGGTGGCGTCATTGCCTTTTCAAGCTACAACAAGAGAGACAACAACTGCCACTTTGATGCTGTTCTGGTGTCTTTCATCAATTTTTTCACTTCTGTTCTGGCGACATTGGTGGTGTTTGCAGTTCTGGGGTTCAAAGCAAATGTTGTCAATGAGAAATGCATTGCACAGTATGGATAATTAATTTCGATTAGCTTTTGATGGCATAATTGTACAGAAAATACGTGGCAAAGAACCTGCGTGCTCATTCACATGTTGTTCTATTTTTCAGAAATTCTGAGATGATCATAAAATTTTTGAAAATGGGAAACATTAGTCAGGATATTATTCCCCATCATATCAACCTTTCTAGCATTACTGCTGAAGATTATCACTTGGTTTATGACATCATTCAGAAAGTGAAAGAAGAGGAGTTTTTGGTTCTTCATCTCAACTCCTGCCAAATCAAAGATGAGCTAAATAAAGTTAGTAGGTCATGTTTGAGCAATCAAATAATTATTATTCTGTCAAAATGTGCATTATCCAGCAGATATTTTTCCTGAAAAAATAGCCTTTAAAATGCCCAGAGAATATCATGCTGTTTCAAAATCCAAATGCTTCATTGCAGAGAACATACTTTCTCACAGCATGAAGATTTGCTTTATTTTAAAAAGCCATTTTATTGATTGAGCCAGAGCAATTTAAAATGTGAATATAAATAAAATGTCTTTTTTTATCCTAGGATGATGAGTAGTTTGATAGCTTTCTTGTTTTTAACATCGAGTTTGAATTATGACTCATTTGCTATACATTGAATCATTGTCTGAATGCCTTCCATGACCTCCATATTCAACAAGTCAAGATAGTCTTTCCTCTTAGAMATTATTACATATTTTAATAAGCAAGAGATTAGTAAACAGTAATAATACCCTTGTATTGGTTTCCAGTGTTTCCTTGTATTGTCAAAATAAAGGCATGGTGGTAAAATTGGCCACTATCATCTGGCTTTAGATAACTAACTCTACTTGAGACTGATATAAAGAATAATGTTTGAGATTATAGATGAAGCCCCCTTTGACATAATAACCTTGGATTTCATAAGGAAACATAATTCCTAATTTGCTTTTGCAAGTTTCTAAAAAAAATCGTGATCTATCTGTTGTATTCATAAAATAACACAATCAACTCAAAGTTTGGCTAGAGGTTTAGTTTCTTAAAAGTAAGTTGTTATTTTAGAATTCAATATTTGTGATGTTTATCAGAAATAAACTCATGTTAACATTTGCTAGTAATTTCATTTCATTCTGCTGGACCAACTTTTTTTTATATTTGGTAATGAGATGAGACTATCAGAAGTAGAAAGAGTAAATGTAGTGGATTTATCTTTTAAGATTGAAAATTGGCTTTTTATTTTCCAGTTATTCTGTTCATATTCTTTTATTTCACATTTACACTTTTAAAATTTAAAACAGTTTAGAATTCATAGTCTATTTTTTTCTTTATACCAGTTGGTAAAGCTACTAATTGATCAATACTAAGCTTTTGTCCAGAAATAGGTACATATGTACTTGTATTTATGTTTCTATGATAATAAATCACTACTCATATTCATACATTTTAACCTAGTAAACACTAAGTTTTCAATTCTGTAAGTATTTCAGTGAAATTGATATAGGTGTGTTGAAAATTTTGAAAGTAATAATATAGAGCTTATATATATTATATCAATATGTTAGTATTATAGCTATATCCTTATTATATAATATTACATATTATATACTATACTAATTCTATATTTTATAATTACATAGGATATATATTTTTTTAGTTTTTATAGGTATTCCATATCTGGGACTATGGGACGTAATGGGTTAACAGAACCAAAATTACTATATATTATTTATTTATTTTTTTTTTATTGTTGGTCGTTCAAAACATTACATAGTTCCTCATACATCATATTTCACAGTTTGATTCAAATGAGTTATGAACTCCCAATTTTATCCCGTATACAGATTGCTGTATCACATCAGTTACCCTTCCATTGATTGACATATTGCCTTTCTAGTGTCTGATGTATTCTGCTGTCTGTCCTATTCTCTACTAT